CTAATTATCATAGATGAAAGATTTCATTTGCAAAAAGTTCTTTTTACTTTCATATGAAGACATCTTCTAAAACCCTTATGAGCAGATAGAATTCCCAATAATTTCAATGAGAAAATTTTCAAAACACTAACCGTTTTCCCACTTAATAATTCTAAAGGCAAGATCACAATATGCCATACACAATTGTCTGGAATATAAAATACAATAAAAGTCAATGTCAAAGTACAAATCTTAAAACAAAACCATAGAGGTCAAACTATCAACACAAGAGTACACAAAGGAACAACAGAAGTCAATATCTTGCACAAGTGTACACAAATGAACAACAGAAGTCAAGATCTAGCACAAGTGTACCCAAATTAACAACAGAAGTCAAGATCTAACACAAATGTACACAAATGAACAACAGAAGTCAAGATCTAGCACAAGAGTACACAAAGGCACAATAGAAGTCAAGATCTAGCACAAGTGTACACAAAGGCACAACAGAAGTCAAAATCTAGCACAAGTGTACACAAAGGCACAACAGAAGTCAAGATCTAGCACAAGTGTACACAAAGGCACAATAGAAGTCAAGATCTAGCACAAGTGTACACAAAGGCACAACAGAAGTCAAGATCTAGCACAAGTGTACACAAAGGCACAACAGAAGTCAAGATCTAGCACAAGTGTACACAAAGGCACAACAGAAGTCAAGATCTGTAGGACAACTGTACAAAATTTTAATAAAGTTAAAACCATATAGTAACACTAAGTACCAATAGCCTTAATGTTTTTGCTGTACTGTTGGATAATAAAAGGTTTCCTAATGCTATATATATATATTATTTATATGTAACAGTATTCAAAATAAAAAAATAAAACTAGTTTTAGGAATAGACATTTTCACTAAAAGGAACAAAGACAATATGCCAGACACAAAGATCATTATAGGTTTATATCTTATATAAAGGAAGTGATAAAGAGTGCTTGAAGAAGTACAATGTTCTACAATGTTTCCTGACCGTAGTAATCAACACAGTTCTACAAGAAGATCTGTTCATGTCCTAGCATATCATGGCCATGTCTTCTATAGGCAAATCTTTTGATAATGGGAAATAATCTACATTAGCCTCAGATTTATCACACAGGCTTTTTGATATGACAGGAAATTTTATGTGTTTGTTTTGTTCATTTGAAGTCATTACCTTCAATAAAATTCTATTAATGGATGCATTCAGGTAGATTTTTGTAGCAAGGTTTAAAAGAGAAGATTTATTCACCAGTATATATGTGGAATAATAAAATAATGATATTCATTTTCAAATCTTTGTAGTCAATGGTGTATGAACCTTGTGTTCAATAGCCTTAAGCTCAAGGATTCCGTCACAACATCGTGTGAATATTTCTGTATAAATTAAACTATTGGAACTATGGTGATCAATTCATCCTATAAAGTCATGGCAAAGAATTTATAGTTACTTCAAATCTAGTTACAAACAAGGATTAAATATTTGATTCAAAATAAATCCATAAAAAACATTTTACTGTCTGTTTTAATTGTAATAGATGTCAATAGTTTTATAGGTGTACTTAGATAAAATTATTTAAAACAAAATAATGTTCCTTCTTTTTAAAGGTTTTGACAATTTTTAAAATGTACTTAAATCTTTTCTTTACAGTCAACCAAAATGTATAATTTGTTTCATGTCAAAAGATGAATGTTCGGAGAAAAAAAAAGAAAATTCTGAATGCTTGAAAAAAGTGACTTGACTACTGATACTGAATAAATTCTCAATAGGATTTATTAATGTTTTTTCAAGATATAAAATGTGGAAAAATAGCTTAAAATAGTGCTGATTGAGTTTATTACTTCACAATGGTATCAAGATAAAGAGTTCAAAAGACATTAAAAGGTTTTGAACAAAAAATCTCCTGAAATCTCCTGGGATTAAATGTTTTATTCAACATTCGACAAAGAATAATGGGAAAGAAGAGAGATTTACTTTTTCATTAAATAATGGCTACTTTTAGAATTGTTATATGCTACAAAACCTTTTATAAAGTAATGTGAAGAATGAACTAGTTAAGTCGTCAAGTCTCCCTAGATTAGGAATTTCTTTGGACAATAATGTCCAGTATTGCTCCAGAGATTCCGTTGCTTCCTTCAGGCCAAACCATTTCCATAAGAATTTGTCATAAGATAATATTTTTGTATCTGACACAAACTCAAGTATTCCATGTACATTAAGCAAGACGATGGTTTGAATGACACTAACTTATTATCGTATCATTTCCATTCTAGACATGTCTTTATCGATCTCGTTCACGATAAAATGCAAGCCTCTGATCGTCTTTTCTAATGAACACAAATAGATAACAAATTGAAATATAATGGAATCAGGCAATATTAAGAAATGGAGAAAATAATACAAAACTGATATTACGCTATAACGACAATCAAATCCGTCAACATGATTGTAATTATTTAATACAAGATTTACTTGATTATAAATTTAATTCTCATCATGTATCTTAGCATGCCAGATCATCTCAAACTTTATGATACCTGAGCTGTTGAACATTTCAATTTGTTTCAAATTCATTCTCCAACTTAGAACACAAGTTTCTAAAATGTATCAATACTTCAAATGCAGGATTTTATCCTAACTAAAAATACCTATAAATTAGAAATAAACGCCCTGAGATATGATTATATTGTAAAACTAATCACATACAAGGAAATTGCAAGTTTTCTCCATCAGATTCCTTTATGTTCAATAGTAAGAGAAAACCCAGAGCCATTCAGACATAATTCAACAAATAGAATGACATAATTAATTAACACCAAGTATGGCTCAAATTTGGCAAAAATATTGGCCTTTGGACTTAACAATCATTTTTTTTTAAATTCAAATTTACTCAATGATTACATAGATTAGAACCCTAATAGGGTATTAAGATATTAGGGTTGTCTCATTGCAATCATATTGGCATGGTCAAATCACTTATTTATTACTTGTTGTATTACTCAACTCGTGAATTAAAGCAAAAGTAAAAGAAATCACATGGTGTTGAAAAATGGGGATAGGCTGTCTGTAAGGAACAAATTATCATCTGTGGACCATTGCATTTACTTTTAGTTCTAATTGACTTGTTGTTTTAAAGAAAAATCTTTTTGTTCTATGTATGAGACAGCTACACTGTTTGGTGTGAGGATTATATAACATGAAATGTTCCGTAATTATTCAGGTCATCTATGGTGTCTTTCAGGAATTACAGGCTGTGTGAATTTAAATGTATTTAATGTTTTTAAATGTTAAATTTCTGTCAAGAAATCGGTTGTTGTATCTGTTTGTTAAAATTTTTATGTTTATTTATATGCTGCAACTTTCAATGAGAAAAGTTTCTACGATTTCCCTGATCTGTTTTAAATTCTATGGTAACAAAGAGATTACAAAACAGTATTTTTTTAAAGCAACTGCCCCATTTACAAAGTCTTTGCAAACTGAAGTTATTTGATCTATGAAAACTTTCCTATTATCTTGCAGCAGACTTTTTATATTATGTTATCTTTGTTCTTCCAATGAGTTACTATGGAATGTTGTGACTTGCCTAATAACCAAGAGACATAAAATCCAGGATTATGCCTCAATGTTATGTTTGTCTGTGTGACCTAAGTCCGGTTGGACACAATCATCTCTAAATCAAATTACAACTTCTTTGATTAAAATACCATTGGCAAAGTCTTGCAATTTCAGGTTTTTCTTTTCAGAAATTGTTTCGTTGATGAGTTTTATTAAAGGGAATTAAAGACAAGAATCAATATATAGCTTTTAAACGAGAATCACTTTTTAATAAAGAATATCACTTCCATTGAAAACAATGTAATTTCCACTTCTATAAATCTGATCCGGTTAATGTCAAAACATTTGGAAAATAATCAGTATTGATTGTAAAAAATTAATGGACCATTATAATAGCTTATCAAAACCAAAATATCTATACACGTCAAAATTCTTATCAGAAAAACATGCAACTTAATTTAGAATAATTTTCAGATTAGTAACACTAGTCTGTGCATCAAATGTTACTATATATAAACAACACATTACCAAGTTTGTAGTTTTAAAATACTATTTTTACAAATCTAAGTCATTTAAAATATGTCAATCTAAAAAGAAATTAATTTAAAATATCTGATCTGTTTTCAATGTAATGTTTACTTTAATAAACATCTTATATACTTTTTTTTATCTACAGCCTTCCATATAACTTACTTTCAGTACTAAGAGGTCATCACAAATGCACTGAGCAGGTAAATAAAAGATTCTTCAACTTCTCAGCTCAATAAAAGAAATACCCTGAGCTTCCTTAGTTGAACTATCCAAACAACTGAATTAAGTATGAAGAGATCACTAAATATGTGTCATATAAACATGTCATAAAAAGATTCAAGATTCAAGAGCACACACACACTGAAATGTCTTGCCTGTTTTACTTATGATTGAATTTATGCTGAAAGTCTGTAATACAAAGGTTTTACTACAAATATCACATTAACTTTACATTATCAATGATCCATGAAAAAGAGGTCACAGTCAGATGAAACCTGACAGTATGTCAACATTGGATCACCAAGTCCCTGGGATAAAAAAGATTATAAATTCTAAAAAGATTCACAAGTCCTAGAGATACAATAAAAAGATTCACAAATCCCTCATATACCAACCAAAGGATTCACAAATCACAGATACAAACTTTCAAAATTCATAAGATAACAACAAAAAATACGAACTTAAGAATCTCAATTCCCTGAGATCCAACATTAAGATTCACATAGCCCTAAGATACAAACCAAATATCTCAAAATTCCTGTCTTATAACAGTGAACAAGTATGTCAACAAGAGAGAGCAGTGTATTAAGACCGTAAAGCAGAGCCCTTTCTCAAGGCATTATGGGTAATTCAACAAAGAAACAAGAGGATGAAGAAGGAATGAAGGATCTATTGAATACTTACGAAATTTCACCAAATGGTTGAAATGCTTCTTTTAACTGTTGTTGTTCCATGTCCATACTCAAGTCACCAACAAATATATGGTAATGCTCTGAAAAAAACTTTGTTTTTAAATATGCATCATGACATTTCAATAACCACATAAATGTTTTAAGTTTTTGGTCATTTCTATTGTTCTTTTTATGTATTATACTAATGTTTTTTACTCTTTTTTTCAAACCTTGATATTTGGAAAGAATTTTTAATAGATATTTTAATGGCAATTTAAAAACTAATTTCTTCTTTTAATGTCCCATGTGTTCATTCCTAATGGAAATCAACATGGAAAAATTAAATGGATCAAAGACCTATTAAATGGCAATGGAAAATAATGCATGATAAACATTTAAAAGTTGTCCTTGTTGCTCAGTCTTTAGTTTTCTATGTAGTGTTTTGTGAACCTGTTTGTAATTTCTGTCTATCGTTTCTAACACTGGTGTTTCCAGTTTCTTTGGAGTTTTGTGAACCTGTTTGTAATTTGTGTCTATCATTTCTAACACTGGTGTTTCCAGTTTCTTTGGAGTTTTGTGAACCTGTTTGTAATTTGTGTCTATCATTTCTAACACTGGTGTTTCCAGTTTCTTTGGAGTTTTGTGAACCTGTTTGTAATTTGTGTCTATCATTTCTAACACTGGTGTTTCCAGTTTCTTTGGAGTTTTGTGAACCTGTTTGTAATTTGTGTCTATCATTTCTAACACTGGTGTTTCTAGTTTCTTTGGAGTTTTGAATGGCCCCTTGGTATCTTCGGCCCCCCTTTTTTAAAAATAAATATATGGAAAAATCAAATGGGAAAAATTTTCAAACAACTGCAAAGTGCACAACTTCATTAGATTTACAAAGATTCTGTGAGCTTTTAAGGTTATGATGTGTGCAATTTTTCTGTAAAGTTTCAGGGATCTGGGTTGAAAACTGTTTGAGGAGCTGATAACACAAAATTGGTAACCACTTAATCCCACCTGTCTGCCTGACATCCATCCTCATACTATAAGCTGGTTTTGCACTAAGAGCAACCAGACCAAAATTAAGTAAAAACAGACAGCAACCAAATACATAACAGACAGGTCAAGGGCATTTCAAACATTTCACCAAATCAAAAAGGTCTGAAGATTGCTTAAAACTTCAATTTTGACAGACTTTTGCAAAATTTGAGTATTGAGCCAAAAAATGTACAAGGAAGATATTCTTTAATCTTAAACAAAACTCAAATTCTATTTAATGAAAATATATATCTTGTCTGTAAGGTCTATTATATCTTGTCTGTCTATATGTCATTTTGTTTTTCTTAGTTGACATAGTTGTTTGTTTTTATAGTGATTAAGATTATAAAACAATGTTGACTGCAGTACCCCAATTTTTTACATTTTTACCTATCAGATCTGTTTGTTTTGCTCACATATTGTTGTCAATATAATGGAATTCTATGCGACTGTCATACAAGTGACAGATTTAGTTAGCTATAAAACCAGGTTTAATCCACCATTTTCTACATAAGGAAATGTCTGTGCCAAGTCAGGAATATGACAGTTGTTTTCCATTCGTTTGATGTGTTTGAGCATTTGATTTTGCCGTTCAATTTTGAATTTCCTTGGAGTTCGGTATTTTTGTTATTTTACTTTTTAGGTATACAGAGCTTCACAATAAACAAATATATTAAACAAAAGATCACATGACCAAATAAAAAGGTTGACAATTTTTCTTGATGAAAGCATGTTCATTAGTGCTTGCGGACAACATAGAATAGTCCATTACCGACTTCCTGTTTATGCAACATGTCAGGATCTTAATAAATACTTCATTCATATATGTACAGATGTTACCCCCAAATTCATGAGGACAGTGCTGGATTAGAGCTCAACATTAAAGGAAATTTCTTTAATTTTCCATCTCATTAGCAATTTTTTCCTCGTTAATTTACTTAAAAGAGCCAAAATAATGAGAATAGTATAGAGAATATATATGACTTTATGAAAATAAGAACATATAATGTCCTGTATGGACCTCTCCTAATATACACATCTAAATCTCATCTATCCTGATTCATTATGTTTTTAATAACAGGAGATTTTTGTTAATTAACAGAGAATTAAGCTTGATTGAGGAGCATACCATCCAATCAAGACTGGTCTACAAGCGGACATATAATTACTATCTACAGCCATTAGAACAACAATACAGCTGTCATACTCTTTGTTAAAAAATAGGGTCAAAATAAGTGTTAATGAAGCAAGACAGTTTGATTCATACTGCTTTTAACTATCATCATGAAAAATTAGTCTTTGTCTCCCACACTAAAAACTTTAAGCCATTGTAAGATCAAATGATTCACGTTTCTAACAATTGTACGGTTTACATTTTATCGTTTTCAGGTCTGTCATTATTTTTGTATTCTGATTATCCAAAAGCAGATTTTTTGATAATAAATATTCATTAACAGATACATTTATAAACACAGTTAATTAATTAAATTCTATTATTACATTAGTTGCAATGAAATACCATTATTTCCCAGTCTAATCAAAGTCAGTAATTCACATGTGAAATAAATCATATAATTTCAATGCTTCGACCTCAAAAATAGATGTTGTCAAGTTGTTGTAATTGAATTTGCATCAAAACGAAGAAAGAACACAAGAAAAAGATATATTTCCTTGTGTTTTCTGGAAAACTTTGATGATCTTTTTAAAAGAGATTATCACCTTTTTTAAATTCACCTTTTGTCCATTAATAAACTATTGACACAGAGATATGTCTCGCCTGTCGGCATAAAATTCAGAAAAAAAACAATCTGATGGACAGCAACATTGCTTATAAATTCAAAGTCGCTGGACCATGATCTAGTGGGCAGGGCCTAGAAATGGACGACAAACTGAGATGTACAGACAGTAATGTAACTTTATAGAAAATATTGTTGTCTATTGTAAGAAGCTCCTATCAATATAACTTAAGCAGAAAACTTAACATTGAAAATTGCTAATTAGTTCAAAGTCACTGGACCATGTCATAGGGGGCAGGGCCTCATAATAGTCGTCAAACTGGTATGTACTGATAGTAATGCAACTTTATACAAAATATCATTGTTCTATCACAAGTAGTACTTATCAAAGTGACTTTATCAGAAAACTTAACATTGAAAATTGCTAATTATTTCAAAGTCACTGGACCATGACCTTAAAGGGGCAGGGCCTCAAAATAGTTGTCAAACTGATATGTACTAATAGTAATGCAACTTTATATCAAATATCAATGATCTGTCACTAGTAGTTCCTATTAAACTAACTTAAGCAGAAAACTTAACAATTGTTGACGTCGTCGTTGCTGGAAAACCTATGTCTCGCTTTCCATGACTTTCGTCGCAAGCGAGACATAAAACTGTAATGATGGTCTGATGATATTTATGTGTTGATGAGATATGTGGTGATGTTTAACTTTTTGTTTTGTTTCAAGTTTAAATAAACGATAGGGTGATTTAGGTCCAAACATAGTGAATACCCAACAATTATTGTTTAACTAACATCATGGCCTCTTGAACATAAGTCAGATTTTCCCAAAGTATCTACTTACTACTTGTGTCTTGTTTTGATGCACTACTATGTCCCAAAGTATCTACTTACTACTTGTGTCTTGTTTTGGTGCACTACTATGTCCCACAGTATCTACTTACTACTTATGTCTTGTTTTGGTGCACTACTAAGTCCCAAAGTATCTACTTACTACTTGTGTCTTGTTTTGGTGCACTACTAGGTGATGTTGCCCAATTTACTTTCATTTCCTGGAAGAAAAAACAAATCTGAGTTAAATACAAAGACAACTAAAAATAAACAAGAAACATGAAAACTCAATTTTATACAGATAAAGGTAGTAGACCAAACGGTGTTTTGAAATCCTGATATGATTCTGACCAATTTTTTTTAAACTGTCTGAAACGTTTTCAATAAATTTAGACTAATTACTAGTGCACCAATTTCCAGCTTATTTTGGAACAATATCTTTTCAAATCCATACTTTATAGTAGCACTTGAAGTCAGTTAAATACAGAATGTGTACACACTTTTGTCAAACTATCCACTACTGTTCAAATTATTCTGTATGTAATATCTTTTCTCTCCTAAAATTTCTTGTTAACTCAAAACTTTTACTCATAATGAAAGCAAAATTTCATTTGCATTTCATTGAGTAAGGTTAGAAATTTTGAAACCCACAAACTGATGGAATAACAAAATCCTAAACAATTTGAGTTTAAGAACTAAGTTTTTTCGACAGTAAATTCACAGAATAGACCTTCTGTACAATTTACAACTATTATTCACAGCAAATGATGAATGTCATCTGTACTGGAATTAACAAATGGACTTTACCTGAGGTAGGATTATGTACATCATGGTACTGTTATACTGAACTGGCTGTACAAGTAGATTGGACCCTGCCTGTTGGTCCATGGACATTCCTAAATAATGGACATAAAGTGCAGCCAACCAGGCAAAAAATTTGGTCATGCCTGATTAATCCTTAAGCCCTTCATTACTATGCATGTTTCTAAAAATGTAACATCTGTTATATCGAGGACCATATGGTTTAGTAACAGCTTATTACAAAGGTGTAAGTAATCTTTATATCTAATTGAATTTCTACATCAACAAAGAATGCAGTTTTTTTTTAATTATTGATTGTTTGCTGTGAACAGAAACATTTAACATAGATCTACCTGCATCACATTGATCTGTCAAATCATCATAATGGAAACTTGAATTTGATCAGGATATTCTATGCTTGTTAATTAAATTCTATTATAACCTTTATCATTCAATTAACAAATGTAACAGGAGAGATAATCAAACTGCATTATGAAAACTTAATGCTTCAATCAATGGATATCATAACTTCTGAAACTACAGTGGTTCAAATGATAGGCAATCTAATACACAGCATATCAAGACAACAGTGCATGGCAAGAAACAGGAACCTCCTTTGTGAAACAGCATAATACAATGGGAAAGTTCTCTGATACAACAGTGTCATGCAAGATAGGGAATCTGCTTTACCAAATAGCATGATTAAATTAGAAGTTCTCTGAAACAACATTGAAAGCCCAGAATTGGAGAACCTACTATACCAAACAGATCAAAAGATAATAAACAATAATAATAATGCTTGACTTTAAAAAAAAGTTTTTAAACATAATAGAAGGGATTTACTATTCAAAATGTGAACCCTCTTTCACAAATGCTTTTGAAAATTGAATATTTCTTCCTACAATCTACAAAAACTCTCCAAAAAAGTACACAAAGTAATCCACACATGGTCAATTAAATATAGAAACTTATAGATTGAACAAGTAATTTATTTTCAATGACAAATCATACACCATACACCTATGAAGCTGAATTTCACTTTATGCAATCTTCCAAAAAGTCCATGGAAGGGACTGGGCAAGTCTAAACATATCTATTTCATGTGGCTTTTATTCATACACACAAATACAATGAAAACTTATACGTTACATCAAAATTTCCATTTTACATTTCAAACTTATTAGATGATATTTGAAATAATCTAAATTCATTTCTTGATGCGATATTAAACATTTGATCTCATCTGTTTCTCTGATTTAAATCAATTTTATTTTCAAATCCAATATAAACCTTTCAATTAAATTTGGAAAACAAGCGCTAATGTAAACATCCCTATACACAATCCATATCATTTACATCAATGTAATATATTTATCTAATTCTAATCAAACAAATAATGTAAGTTAGACTTTCTCCACTGAATTCTACAAAACAATGAAGTTATTAAGCTGATGGGTAATTCTATAAAACAATTTGATTTCATCACATACCCGGTAATTGCTTGAACCTTTTATTACCTCTTTGTAACACACTAAATGAGACATTTTATTCAACAATATTCACCATTATTGTATCTCCATTATTCATTAGAAGTGGTCATTTACTCTAATTTAAACTTCTTATTCTTTTATATTATTTCATGAAATCTGCAACAGCTTGTAAGACGTATTATGGAGATCGATGGAATGGAATCAACAGAGTAGTAATTGGACAATTAATGATGATTCTATATGGTGAAAGTATACTGAAACTTTTCTCGTCAGGAGTTGGATGACCATTTGACTTAGTCAATGTGTGTGAAGCTTCCAAGGAAGATATGTTGTCTGTTGTCTCCAGAAGAGTTCATGTTCTTGTATGATGAACCCCAGAAATCACTCAAGATTCAAATATTAAAATAGCAGGTACATAATTTTATGTCCTGTAGAAGAATCCGTGTAAGTCTTTATAAGGAGACGAAGATTATGAGGGTGTGATGCTGACTACAATTACACTGCAAGACGCCAGAAGTGTTCCCTGATAGTCAGCACAGCTTCTTCATCAAGCAACACAATTATTGTAAAGGTTGCTTTAAAGCATTCAAATTGGAAACCACATGCAATTATTTCTGCTAATTATGTTTAGACCAAAGCCATAACTCCAAGGGAAATTCAAAACGGAAAGTCCCTAAACAAATGGTAAATTCAAAAACTAAAACGTTTCAAACGAATGTTAACTTATTTTTACTTAATGTTCTCAGTAATACTGAGAATACCTATGTTGAGGATTACCTGGTATTGTGCAGGAATCACTGGATACTGAATAAAAGTATCTGCATGGAATATAATCTGATCGCACTCCAACATAATCACTGACTCACTAACTTAAAAATTCAAATGTTCAAGCTGTCACTTTAAATTGAAGTGATATTTACACCAGAATACATTTCAAGTTACAAACTACCAGTTAAATACCACTAAGATTCCCCTCTTAATAATTCTGTAACTTGAAATGTCAAGAAAACCAACTAAAGAAGAGAAAATCCATTTTATATGTAAAATACTCTTGGAAAAAAAGTTCTCATAACTAAAAAATGCTTCATAATAACCAGGAAGTAATAAAATTCAGGTCACGACAGAAAAATATCCAATCATTAGATTAATTAGGAAGTAACATTTTAAACAATACCCTTAACACCTTCCTAAAGGGAAATTGGCCATTACATAAAAAACCTCATTACTCATTAGAACTTAATGGTGTCAGCAATTCTAGGAATTAAACTGAAAGCGTCTTCATTATAGTAGGTTTTTATGTAAAGATTGAGTTTTATAAATAACTTTTAAGGGGAAGAAAACTTATGAGGAAATTAACTACTGATTGCAACATAAACTTTGTGCATAAAAGAATTACAAACATTGAGACACACAGGGATAGTCAAGAATTATGTTTACTCAGTAAAGTCCTATTTGTTTAAGTCTTCTGTATTAGACAGCTGAAGCCATAATACTTTATCTTTTTAATAATAGAAGTTATTTCATGTTATGTACAAGTAATTCAAGGTGTTCTACCTAGTTTTAACTTATAATATTTTACTGATCAAAATTTAAAAGGGAGGGTTCATTTCTCAATAAAATACTCCTGTCACAGGTTGAAATTTGCCTGATCCTGTTCGAGAACCTGAGGGCAGTCATTTGTATTTAGATATATCTTCTTTTTATCTCATTTAGGGAACTGAGCAAGGATGATTGCACCCTTTACAAATTTAAGAATGAATTTCTGGGTATTAAAAGCCCTTCAATCATGGAAAATATATGTTCATTAAATTCCAAGCCATAACTGCAAATACATGCATTTAAGCTTCTTATTCAAGAATGTATATAAAAGCACCCATACAAATTTTCTAGAAAAATGAGATATATAACTGCCATATTTATCAGCTTTCAGAAGACTTTAAATCATTATTCTGTCCCAATGCTGGATTTAAAAGTCTAACAAAAAAGCATTTAATTTATATTACAGGTATTATGTTTAACTTTCTTTACAATCACTTCAATTTTAACATTAGTAATTCATGATGTTGAAGGTCACTGCTAAAAAATTGTGACGCTCATATATATATATATATATATGCATGTTATAGTATACTCATAAATGAGCTGAACACATAATCTTTAAATTAGTTGCATAACATTTGTACTATAACGTTAAAAGTCTATACATGTTCGATTTTTCATTTATACTCATTATAAACATATTTTATATTCAAAGGAAAAATAGAAATGATCTGTGAATTTTAAAAAGGTAACGAGCTTTTTTATTAATAAAAAAAAAAAAAGAGATGTAGTATTGTTTCTAATAAGTCGACTATCCACCAGCGATCGGAGGATGTGGATATAAACAACTTTATGTCACTGTACAGCCTTTAACAATGAGCAAACTCATATCATATAGTAAGCTATGAAAAAAGGTCTTGCACACAAAATTTGAAACAATTCCAAACAAAGGCAGACATTTCTGCCATAATTATGTTTCAAAGCCGTAAACCAAAAGAATTTGTTTGTAATAAAACAATAAATTAGGTCATGTTTTCAGGAGCTCTTTAATCATTATTGTCATATAAAAAACGAAGACTTTCGACAGCTTTTTCAAACTTGTAGAACTGTTTTCTTAATTTTCAATATTGCGTAATCTCTTACCTTAACTGGATTAGTTTGGGTTGCTGTCTCTGTTAACATTCCAAATCAATATAACACAATCAAATAAATAATGCCAATTAATTAGATCATAGATTTCAATTCCTTATCAAGCAAAAATCTTACGTAAAAACAAAGTGAAGCAAAAGACCAGGATCTTATTAAAAAATTGCTAAACACAGACTTTTAAAATATACTCTTTGATGACAATATGTTAACACTGATCAGATATCAGGAACAAGGAATGAGTA